GGAGCTGGGAATGGGAAAGTCTTGCAAGGGAGAAGCAGAAAACTTCTGGGGATAAAGGGTTTCACTTCCACATATAATTTGGTGAAAATTTTAATTCTGGAAATAAGCTGATTTTGGAGGTAAATGCATGGTTGGAAGGTCAAATGAAGCTAATCCCCCTTCCTCCCCAAGAATAAGATACACTGAAAAAAACTGTAGAGGAAGCAACTGGTACCCAGATGAGTGGCACACGCTGCTCTTACTGGTCTAACAGGGGTTAACACCAACAGCCTGTGCTCCAGAAAACAGTAATACATGTGTGCATATAGATGGGCTGGATCACTTTTTCTGCAAACAGAAAAAAAAAAACACCAAACATCTTTTGGCTCCAGGATGTAGGATTTAAAAAAAAAATTATCTACACGTGCTATTGCAAGAGTTGCAATAAAATAAGCACTGCTGGTGCCAGTGAGTTATAGGTGCTCACAACAGGCAGGATAATGGGATTTCACCATGGTTTCTTTCCTCAGAGGTAACTGCACTCTTATCAGGAGATGCAGGATATGAGACTCTGACACTTCTCTGCTCTGATTCATACACTGGAATAAAGCAGACATTTGATGGCATCTGCATTGCTGACTCAATCATGTATCTTTGGTGCTGATCTTGTTGGTGCCGGGAAAAAACATTTGCGGGGGGAGAGTGCTCTTCTTGCCTGCACGCAGCAGGCAACGCGGCCACGGCCTTTGCTTTAGGGCCTCACCAGTGAGAGCAGGTAAATAAATGAAATAAATGCATTCCTACCTCCATCCCACATCCACCAAAGCAAGGTTTTCAGCTGGTTTTCTCCACCCAAACTTGGCAAAGCAACTTAAAAAAAAAAAAAAAAAAAAAAAAAAAAAAAAAAAAAAAAAAAGAAATCCCAACTGCTCTGCTTTTGGAATATATTTGAAATGAAAAGAAAGTAAACCTTGCCTGTCTTCTCCCTGCACTTTATTCCCAGCCAGCCTCAGAAAAAGATGGAAGACAAACATTTTCTTGTTGAGGCTCATTCTACCTCCAAGTGGTTGTTTCCAATGTCTGGATTTTTTTTTTTTTTTTAATGTTTAAGCTCTGGCACGTCTTATTTTCTTCCTTTTGGGGAATAAACAAGAAGAGCAGCAGCCCAGCAGGTAATGAAACAGATTCTCCTCTGACTCTAAAAGTACAGAGTTGAGACCAAGGAGGTGACAAAGAAGATAAATTAACACTTTAGAGGATGCTAATCACACGTGGGAGTGGTGCTTTCCAGCGGGTGGGCAGTTTTTGTCTCATCTCATCCTCTGGCAGCCCTCCGTGAACGTTCACAGCCCCACATGCCAGACCCACGCATGGGATTGCTGCTCGCATTCCCCTCCTGCCATGCCTTCACCACCCACATCTGCGATGGATATAGCTCTTCAACCTCCTCCCCGCAGCCCTGTCGCAGAGCGAGAGGGCCTGTGACACTTTCCACATATAAAAGTGGGCAATTTAGCAAAAAAAACCATCTGCAGCTGGATTTGTGGGTCTTCATCACCATGGCATGAAGGTTGTGTAATCTTGTGTTGGACAAAGACGATACTGGAGAGGACTGGCTATGCCTCGTGTCTCTCTTAGTACTTTATTCATCGAGGATGCAAACAAGACTACGGTGTGGGTCAGACTAAAAGTCCTCTCCTCTGCTGTCCCGTCTATGGTGGAGACACTGTGCAAGAGCGAGGGCTTTCTCCTTGCACATCCTCCCAACCTGGCTTGCTTGAGCCCACGCAGCTGTCATTCAAGATGTCCCTGCTGGCTCTGGGGACTGCTGGGATGAGCCAGGAGAAGAGCATCCCCACAGGCTGGTGAGGCAGCCAAGGCCATGCCAAATCCCAATTCCCACCCTCCAGCCCCACCAAAACCAAGGCCTGAAGGAGCTGGAGGATTTACAGCAAACAAGAACAGGCCTGGGGTTGATGGCCTCATCGCCCAGTGCCAGGGCTAAGCCTCCTTTCCAGGGAAGTCGTGTCTCATCAAGCGCAAGCCTTGACTGAACCCTCTCCCAGGCTGAGGCATGCCGAAACGCTCTTCCCGGGGCAGCCTGGCCGGTGACTAACCCAGCATGAGCTCATCTCTTCCCTCCATCGCAGCATTTCTGCCAGCGCCTGCGCATCTTGCACACAGCCCATTGGCTTCCCTTCCCTCTGAGACCCCACCGCTCTGCCAAACACAGTCAGAATTCATTCAAAGAGTCATCAGGGATGGACAACAAACAACACCTCGTTAAGCCTCCTGGGTTTTGGGAGCCACCTCCAACTAGAGCCGCCGCGTCGTCCCCGTGTGTGCACCAAGCAGCAAACCCTCCCACACCTGCTAATAATGCCCGTTGCATTCACCTTCGGAGCTCAACACTTGCTGAATCTTCCCTGTTCCAGTTCGTCTCTACTGTTTATATTAATTATGCCCAGAAATTCAGGGGAGGGTGGCTTTTCTAGGAGGGTGGCAGTATACGGTCATTAAATAAAATATAAACACCTCATCTATACTTAACATCAGGTTTGATCTTCACTGTTTTCACTCCTCTTTTCCAAGGCGATTTGCGATTTCTTTGGTTGCTTTTTGGGAAGGGAGAATGTAGGGGAGGGCTGACTTAATGCTTAATCTGATTTTTGATCTATTATTAAATGCCTGCTTTCTTTTTTTTTTCTTTTTTTTTTTTTTACCCTTTCTCTAGGAAGCCAGAAGCCCCAGCAAAAATTACAGCCAAAAAGGTGAACTGTGAAATGAAAGCTGGGAGAGAAAGAATTGCTTGGGCTTTTTTTATTTCAGAGTTTTCTCATTTTCAGCTATAAGAAATCTCTACAGTGCCAGCCAAGTAAAAGAAAATATGCTGAAAGTGATGGAAATGCAAAGCATTGGCCCTGATCCCACCGCTGACATACGTGGCCAAACCCTCTGATTGAGGCTGGCATGTGCATCCCCACAGGATTCCTCCACGGACCCACATTTCAAATACAAACACATTGACATTTCCTCCCCCTTTTACCAGCGTTAATAATTCTCTAGCAAATACCCAGGCTCAGGGAACGGTATTTGTGTGCCACGAAGCCAGGCACTTCGATTTGCAAACTGATGCCAGAGCCAGGACTTAGTCAAAGCCTGGGACAGGACTGCAGATCAGGAGGCCAGCAGCGCTCCAGGCATCCAGGAACATCTTTTTTTTTTACCATTTTTTATACAGCATCTTTTATAGGTTTGACAGGAGTGTAGCAAAACACGATCCCTGCAAAGGGCTTGTGCAAACCCACGCAGTTGGGCAGAGAGTGCTGCAAAGGCTCACCAGCATTCAGTGCCCGCCGCCGTCGCTTTAGGATGCTTTTTAATAGCTTTCTGAATATTTCAATACTTCATCCTCACCCCTTGCTAAATAACAGTGTTTATGTCTGCCCTGCAACCCCATGCGTGACCTCCCCTGCCTCACCTCGTGGGGACAGATTTGGTTTCCAGCTAGCAAAGCCAGTCCAAGAAGCAAAGTGATTCCCAGGTGGTTTCTTTGCTCTCTGCAGGCACTTCACCAGGGTCAGTGCTGGCAGATGGCTTAAAGTTGATCCAGAGGAACCTCACTGAAGGAATTCCCACCATGAGGCAGGAGAACAAGTCCAACACTCTCTGTAACGTGCTCTGAAGGTGAATCAGTTTGTTCCCAAGGCCACACTGCAGGTGGGTCAGGATTGACGGGGGCCCTGAAAAACCCTGCACCCATCTTGTACCTTTTTATCACCCTTTTTGCCTCCTTTCAGACCCTTGACATCACTGGAAACAATTTCTCCTTCTGCTGTATCTGCACAAATAGGGAGTTTGTCCTCATCTGGCATCAGCACACGCTCCCACCTCCCAGCCAGCTCGGACCAAAAGCGAGCATGGCTTTGCTGCCAGCTCCCGCCGAGAGCTGGATGCACACCTCGCCAGGCTGGCTGTTTGGCTGGCGAGCGAGCGATCCCCGTGTGAAACCAGGGCGTCCAAATCGGGGCTCCCAGCTCCCCAGTGAGCCCCTCCACTCCCACCTCGGGGCTGCTGCAGGCCCCGACCTCCAGCCAAGACTCCCACAGAGATCATTTCTCAGCAGCCCCAGGGAAGGGCAAAAGCTCCTTAGCATTTCCTATTAATTTAATGAATTAATTTAAGCATTTCCTATTCATTTCCTATTATAAACGTTGCCTTATTAATTAGTAAGATGAGAGCCATCCCCTAACCCTCAGGAACACAACCCAGCAAGAGTTACAGACACCACTATTTTGAAGGGGAAAAAGCAGGTATTTTTAAGCAGTTTTTTTAAGGAATGTCCCACACAAGCAGCTGAAGATTTTGCGGCAGAACTGGGCATGTTCAGACCCATTTTGGAGGAAAAAGCATCCCCAGGCCATCTTCCATGGCAAACCCTGTTTTTTTCCAGAGGAATACGGAAAGGGCAAGGAGGTGGCATGCAGCCCAGAGAGCAGCTGGGCAAGATGCCACCACCTACTTCTGCCCCAGTCATAACTGGACATCCCAGTACCTCCTCTCCGGGAAAAGCCAGCGAGTGTTTGGAAAGAAATCACAGAAATGGCACATCCAGAAAGAGCTACCTCTGGGTAGGGAACAGTCAGCAGCTGTGTCCACCCCGTGTGACGGCCACCAGTGCCCACCTCTCTTCTCCCATCCAAAAGGCCACCGGGACCCTGTCCTGGTCCTGCTACGAGATAACACACATCATAAAACCTTCTGTTTGATCATTTCCAGACAGCGGCTCCTGGGACCCATCAGGGAATGATTACAGATGTAATAAATACTGACATGGGACTGGAAACCCTTTTCTCCTTCCCAAGGGAGACCAGAGAGATAGAAGAGATGAAGGAAGCAACCACGAACCTTCGATTCCAACCCACCCAACAACCACAAAATCCTTTTTGGGATCCCCAGTGATCAAATCCCAGCTGCCACAAAAATTGATGTTGGTGACACAGGAGCAAAGGTTTCCTCACCTTCAGATTCTGGCTGGATACGATCGGTTCAGGTTTCTGGGCAGGACTAAAGTTCCCACAGTTGTATTTCTCCTAAAAAAACCCAGACCTGGATGTCATCGTGACATGAGGGACATATGTGCCACCTCCTTTTTCCATCTTCAGCCTAAATCCCCTCCTGCCTCCCCTTAAAAGTCAGCAAAAAGGAGCCAAATCAAAGCAACTGTCTACATTTGACTTTATCTGCTATGAAATGTCAAACTTTTTGACAGGGATGATTACATTTCCACCCTCCCTCCCCGCAAAGCATGAAGACTGCTATAAAGAAGTCAAAACCACATCAGAGAATAGAAAGAATCACCTACACCAGCCTCAAATGCTGGGAAAGCAGGGCTGAAGCCAGAGGTCCCTCTTGGAAAACAAAGGGTCCTGCTGGGAAAAAACCCACCTGGGTTTCTCCACTCCCTCGTGTCACCTCTGATTTTGCTTCCCATGCATTCATTTATATGGAAATGCAAGCGCACACACAGTAAAAAAAAAAACCCTCCGCGTGCTGGAAATATTATGACTAATGGATAGGAACCTGCGCAGTGTGTAAAAATCTTCCCCCTCTCCCGATGTAACAGCATTTTGCATGCACTTTAGACGTTGGCACCTACGTTTCATCTGCTTTCTCATAAGATGATGGAATACATTTAACAAATTACAATGATTTCAAGTCTCAGCCGTAGATTCTGCGCTGCCATCGTTGCAGCAAAGATGCCACAGGCTCCCCCTGGCCCACTGCTATGGGGTCAGTGGGCTCCTGTCCCATCCGATTGATTTTGGAACAGCACATCAGGGCACGACACATCATTTAATTTTGATCTTTCTCTTTTTTTTTTTTTTTTTCCCCCACTAATACCCTGCTTTCCCTAGCATCCCTGGTCTTTGCCATCTGCCTGGATGGCACGGGACTGCATCTCCTCGTGTGTCTCACGCCTGGACCCTGCCACTTCGCAGTGCCTACCCTGCATCGCTGGGACCACACAGGTTCTTCCAGCAAGGAGAAAGCTCTTGCTTGACATTTCTGTGCAGGCAATCGGGAACATTTACCGCCCCATGTAAGTGATGTGCACCAGTGCCTCCAGCCCTGAAGCCCCCGCGGTCCCTGCGTTGGAGGCACATTCCTGCACTCACTGGGACGCATCTGGGCTCCAGCTCCCAAACCCGCCCAGGTCTGCAGCAGTGGGGATGGGGAGAGAAATACCTCAGGGCTTTTGTTTTTCCTAACACCCCTTCCAAGGACAAAAATAACACTGGCTTCCCTGGTTCACAGCATCCTTTACCTCCAGAGCCGAGCAGCACAAGCCACGAAGCCGGCACACATCCCTCGGCAGAGCGCACAGCTCCGAGTGACGCGCAGCCGCTGCCAGCTCAGCCGTGCTCACACTTTCCACGTCTGCAGCATCTCTCAGCCTGGTCCTGAGCTGCTTCGTGGGGATGGGGCTGGAGAAGAAACCCTGCAAAACTCCTCCCCGCAGCAACCGAGAGGAGAAACACCCAAAGGAAGAGCACACGGGAGGCAGAGGACAGAGCAGGCTCCGTAGAGAGAAAGGTTTGCAGAAAGGAGCAGAAGTTTTTTTGCTCAGCCGCTGAGACGCATTTGAAGGTGAAGGTTGGACGTGGAAACATTTACAGCTGTAGGGAGCCCAGACTGCCCAAAGCAGAGTGAAAAACAAAGAAACCCAACCCCAGCATGATGAAATACAAGTTTATTTTTTTTAGCCTCTGTCCAACTTCCCTCCCTGGCACAGAAAAATTTCTTTAATCCTGCTCTGCTTGGGGGCTTTTGTGCAAGACAGGTTTTCAACCAACTGACCGACCCCAAACACAATTTGAGGGCGCTGGTGAGTCCCCAGCACCTCCAGATCTATTGCATGAAGGGGGAACTGAGCAAGGAAGCGAACCCGGGGTGTCCTGACTTCTCCAAGCCCTTCAGCTCTCCCCCGTGCTCTCCTGGGTCACATCCCAGGACGAGGAGCTAACGCAGCACTGGAGAGGTACCACTATGCCAGCATCGATGGGCACGCCGGGGCTCCCGAGATCCCTCTCTGCGGGGAAGGCAAAGCCATTCCTCCACTTTGGAGGGGCCACTCACCTCCCTTCCAGCCATCCCAGGCTCTCCCTGCCGGCTGGGGGTTTCTCCTTGCGGCTCAAGAGCCTTTTCAAAGTGGCCAATTTGCCTTGTGTCCCCCATGGCCCAAATTGCCAAACTCAAAAGCAACTTTCAGCGGGGGTAGAGGAGCCCTCGCCCCACTATTTAAACAGCTGCTTTCACATGCAACCTGATTTATGTTGCACCATCCCCAAGGAGCCGGAGATGAGCCAGTGCCACCCCAGAGCCACGGCGACAAGTTTCCCCTAACTCTGGAGATCTGGGTGACACCCCCCCACCCACCCAAAAAGGAAGCAGCC